CCAGGAAACAGGAGCCACAGAACAGGAATCAGGCACCTTGAACTCTAGACCAGGTCCTGGGGACCATGACCACGTTCTGACCCTTTTTAGATTTGTTTCCTCATCTGTGAGGGAGTATATTTCTAACTTGCTGAGTGTGGTGTTAATTAAATAGCATATTGTAACTGGAGCTCTTGGCACTTAATAGCTGAATTAGACGGAAGCTATCCGGCTGGATCCCTAAGGTCTAGCGCTGAATGAATGAGAGCGAACAGAGGGTGTTCAGTAAACATTACTTCCCTTTCCCGTTGGAAATGCCTCAAAGGACCTTGACACGTCTGCTGCAGGAATGTGAAAAGTAAATGCTGTGTCCAAAAAAGTGCCTCCTAGAGCTCAGACCAGAGACTACCGAACAGCTGTTTCAGCTCTGACACAGCCTTGATCAGCTGTCTCCTTGCAGGCCTCCTACTGGGGGGTTGAACCTGCAACCTGGGCATGTGCCCTGACCAGGAATCGAACTGTGACCACCTGGTTCATAGGTAGATGCTCAACCACTGAGCCACACCAGCTGAGCCTGCCTTTTCTTCAAAAAGCACACGGCAAATCCTCCATGGACTGTCACACAGATAAGGTCTTGAGTGCCCTCGCCGCCCTCCTCTCTCTCTTTTAAATGTGCCTGCATTCGTCAGCTCGGGCTGCCATAACAAAATACCAGTCCTAGCAACAAAAATGTACTTTCTCACCGTTCTGGAGGCTGGAAGGCCAGGGTCAAGGCGTCAGTAGGAGTGGTTTCTCCTGCGGCCTCTCACCTTGGCTCAGAGGGCCACCTTTTTGCTGTGTCCTCACATGGCCTTTTCTCTGGTGTCTTCCTCTTCTTATAAGGACACTGGCTCTACTGCTCAGGGCCCACCCTCCTCACCTCATTTAATCTTCATTATCTCTTAAGCCTTATCTCCAAATATGGTGGTCACATTGGCGGTTAGGGCTTCCGTCTATGAATGTGGGGGACACAACTCAGTCCAAACCAGTGTCCCAGGCCACAGTGCTCTCTGTTAAACACCCGGATGAAACACAACACTGCAATGTGGTCTGACGATTCTGATGATGATTAGCGTGGTCACCTCCAGAGGAGGAAAAAATGGTACAAGTGTTAGTCTGCTTTTTCTTTATCCTGCGCAGTTTTGTATTATTTGGAATTCTTTAGGTTGTAAATGACAGATTCTGATGGGAAAAAAAGTGGAATCTGTTATTTCATATAGTGCAAAAACAACCCCCCTCATGGAGATGCCTGGCTTCAGCAGGGCCGAATGCCTGAAGCCCGGCTCAGTGATGCCATGAGAAGCCGGTTCTTTGGCCATCACTGGACTCTACCCCATCAGCTGGCTTTGGTACCAGAAGGCTACCACCAATGACTTGAGGCTTTCATCATCCCACACAGCTCTTGATCCCAGAAAAAGCAGCATCTTCCCTCACAGATCTAGCCCAAGACTCTTCCCTTAAACCAAGCATGTCAAACTTGTGCCAGCAGGCTGCGAGTCTGACATGCTTGCCTTAAACCAATCACCACAGCCAAGGGATTGAGTCCTGTGTCACCCCCAAAGAGGGGGTGTGGGGTTGGGCCAGGTCGTCAGATCACTGTGGAATGGACTACTGGTTCCCCTCTTCTTAACCCTCCTCTCTAAACTGGATGCTGGGCAAACAGTATCTTTCTAGGAATAGCAATGCTAGTAGAGGAAAGAGATAGGCATGCTAAAGAATTACCTGCCTCTCTGTTTTTAAAAAGTACTTGATCTTTGCACAGTGTTTTACTTATCAGAATGATCTCCAACTCACTCTCTGCCCAGGTGCTAACAAAAGACTGATCCCAGAATGTCCTTGCACATCTCAGCTCTTTCCACCAGTGAGAACTGCACGGGTGTGTGAAATCGCAGCAGTTTCTCCTCTTGGCAGTCCTGAGAAAGAGTCCGATTTATCATGGACACATCAAGAGTAATTATATCAAGTTGGCCTGTGTAGCTCAGTGGTTTAGCATTGACCTATGAACCAGGAGGTCACGGTTCAATTTTCAGTCAGGGGACATGGTGGCTTTCGGGCTTGATCCCCGGTAGTGGGTGTGCAGGAGCCAACTGATCAATGATTCTCTCTCATCATTGATGTTTCTATCCTTCTCTCCCTCTCTGAAATCAATAAAAAAATATTTTTAAAAAATTCACTCTCAATTATATCTTAATAAAACTGAATGAAAAATATTTTCAGTTGCAACAGACCAATTACAGAACCCAGAGACCACTCATTCATCCAACAACCATTAACTGCCCTTCAAACAGCTGGAAGGTGCTGTGCTAGGTATTGGGACAAACATGAACAACTCAAAAAAAAACTTTCAGCGGGGAAGAGAGAGGGAGAGATGGGAGGGGGATAGAGGGGATAATGGTGATGGGAAAAATAAAAAAGAACCAAAAACTTTCAGTTGTACTGCTTACAAAGCATTTTTGCATATGTAATCACACTTTTCCTATATTATATTATCCTATATAATAAAAAGCTAATATGCAAATTGTCCCCTTGACCGGAGTTTGACTGGGAGTTCAACTAGGGGGCAGGGCCAGCTCTCCAACTATCCTCGGCCCCTCCCCCTGAATGGCCCCTTCCCCGAACAGCCCCCTTCATCCAGATTGGGGGCAGGGCCGAGCGGACCCCACCTGTGCACAAATTCATGCATCGGGCCTCTAGTTTTATATATTAGGCAAGTGAAACCCAAAAAGAATAAACAATTTGCACCAAATTACACAGCCAGTAAGAGCAGGAGTCTGAACTTACCTTCCAATGAGATTTCGAATCTCACACTCTTATCTTCTTCCATTCTGTATTTTGCCTAAAGATTCTCTTCTTCCCCATTTCTAATTCCCACACTCAGATTACCCTTCAACTACAGCAGTATTTTCCTGAGCGTAACTAAAAATTAAGTGTTAAGCAATAAAAGTTCCTTCATCAAACAGATGTGGGAAGTTCAGGGGCAAAATTCCTACCCTCCGCCCTCTACTCCCTCGAGATTTCTCATGCTCCCACACTGACCTTGCCCAGAGGAGTGGAGTGCACAGTGTTTGTCAAACAGCTGTCTACAGGCCCTTCTGCTTCCCATGCAGCCTCCTGCGTGACTAAGAGCCATCGAAAGCACAGGCCCCAGAGTCGGGTGGAATTGGGTTCAAATGCCGGCTCTGTGTGATGCTGGAGAGGTTAAGCCAGTGCACACCTTGCTTTTTTAAAAAAATCTGTGAAACAGAATGACAGTAATAGCAGTGATCTCCTAGGAATCTTATGAGAACAACAAAATCAGGGTCAGAGGCAGCTATGGAGTGCCAAAGGCAAGCATGGGCTTTTCAGTTAGAAGACAGATCCAATTCCCAGCTCTCCCAATGAAGCAAACCGTGTCACTTGGAGAGTGAGCTATTCCCGGAATCCTCTCAGGCACATGCCTGTCAGGTGAGCAGTACCGAGCCTACAGGACGGGTATGGAAATTGGAGGTGATAACAGGTCCTGGAACATGTGCCTACACTTGCAACGTGTGTTGTTTGTATCTGAATCTAGAAGAACCAGAAAGTTTACATTTTAATACGCAAGGACTTGTTAAACTTCATATTTGGTGCTAGCTCAAACCCTTTTGTAACTCCCTACAGCTCTGAAATTCACCATGTGGCCCTTTAGCTCTTGCTGCTGACCTGCTGCCTGGACCAGTTCTGCCCATGCAAACTACTCAGCAGACTCATTTTCCCTCAAAATCCCAGTCATGCCTCATGCGCTGAAATGAACAGACACCCAAGAGGCAGCAACTGCCTTGTTTCCTGCCATTTCCCCTCCTAGGGCCTATAACAATGGCATGTGGCAGGAGGTTTAAAAAAAAGCCCATAAAAGTGAATAAATAAGAAGTGCCGAGAAGCCACGATGCATCCGGCTCTGTTCAAGTGTGACAGGTGGAGGGACAAGGTATCAAACCTTCTTTCTGCCTTCAAGTAACCCTCAATCAAGTCAGGGAAATACGACAGAAAAATTAAGCCCTAGAGTATTTTCTATATGTCCGTGTTGTACGGAAGTTCAGGAAAAAAAGAGACATTCATGTGGGCTGGAGTGGAAACAGGTTTCCTGAAGGAAGTGCACGGCGCTGGGTTCGGAAGGATTTCATGGGGAGAGAACATAGGGCTGGAGCCAGGGAAACCACAGGGTGCGCGGATCCCAGACTGAATCAATGGGGAGCCGAGGGAAGGCTCCTGCGACCGAGGCCCCAGAGAGCGTGCAGTCAGGCCAGGGAGGGCTTCGCTGGCCAGGGACAGGGCTTTCCACTGCCACCGGGTAAGGGACTGGGAGACAGCCCGCTCTTGGCCACCCGTCTCTGAAACACGCTGTGTTTAAGTTCTCACCCAGGGCAGAACGAGCTGATTCGCACTTCATTCACCCCAGAGATCTGGTTATCAGGAGGGCCCCTACCAACACCAGGACAACGATTCTGTCAACTACAGCACGTGTGTCCGCCTGCTCCACCCTGGGACCTCTACTTCCCTCAGTCTTCAACAAGGCGGAGAGTCACGAAGGTGGAGTCTTCACTCTCCGGCTCTGGAAGTGCTCCAGTTCATCTGATAGGAGAGCATCCTACCGGGAAAAGGATTCCATAGGATCCCCAAGTTGAAGCTCTTCAGTGGCTTCCCCGTGAAGACCAATGGAACCACCAGGAATTACCCATCATTTATTTCTACAACAGCTGCTTCTGGTTGGAAGGGTGCTCACCACCGAGCTCTCGCTTGTAATTTACTTTGTCCCCCTCCCCTACCGAGTGGAACAGACCTCACACATCAAACTGTCAATGCAGTCCACACAGTTCAACAGACATGTGTATGTTGTGCCAGGCTCTGGAAATAAAGAGCTGTGAGGCCAAGCATGCACTGCTATGCCGGCCCTGGGGAAATGTCAACACTTGGTGGTGGGCTCTGGCTGTGTCATCGTAATTAGACGGAGAGCACTAGAGTCCCAGTTTGTCAACTGCAAGGAACTTAATTAATCTCTCAGGCCAGAGAATCTGCGTGCCAACCAAGCCCAGATCCAAGCTCTCAGCTGATTAGTCACATCACAGTTGGTTCATTGTGTCATAAAATTTCAACAAGCAGGACTGTCATCCAAGGACTGCATTCTGGCGTTCTGCGTCTGAGCACCCAGGAAGATGGGAGTCCAAGGCGCCCCACCTGAGTGTCAGGCCTCTCTTCTGGCTCCTGTGCAATTTCTAATCAGGATTAGATTAGAACAGGATTTCATTAGTCTAATTAAATGCTTTGCTGCTTGAGGGAAATTAAAGGAATTAATTTATTATCTACTAAGTGCCAGGCACCTTGCTAGATGCTTTAGCAAGTAATCTCATTTAATCAATGCAGCAACTCTGGGAGGTAGGTAATATCCCCATTTTACAGAGAGGCAAACTGAAGCGCAAAGAGCTTAACCAAGCTGCTCAGGTAACAAGGCCAGTGGAAAACCAAAGGTGCCAGAGCTGCAGAGCACCGAGCAGATGTCCCCGACCACACGGTCCCTGAAGGTGAAGTGCTTACCTCTGCACGGCAGTGAACTCCAGGGCAGAGAAAGTCACCAGTCATGAGGAAAAGGCAATCAGACATGGGTAACCCTGAGGAGGAGGGAAGTCGCTCCTCCTTGGGCTTTATCAGCCCACTCCCCTGACTAAGCCCCTGCACTGCTCCCAACAGCCCTTCCCTTTATTTTCATCCACCCAAATCCTACGCTTCCCCAAGACTCAGATCTTCCTCAAAATCCCCGTACCCCTCAAAACTGCAGAACTACAGCAGGTCACCCGTACTGCTAATGGGATCTACCCCACTTCACCCGCATTCCTGTGCCTTGGTTGCCCCACCCCATGCTTTTGGTGTTGGTTGAGGACAGCAAATTCCTGAAGGGGGGACGAAGGATCACACATATTTGCACCTTTTACTATGGCTTATAGTTAGTAGACGTCTAGGAAGTGTTTTTTGAATGAATGTTCTGCTATCAGCAAAAAGGCCCTCCCCACTTCTAAAAAGACATGGACAAAATTTCCAGAACCTACACAGAGGGTGCGACCTTTGCAACTATCCTAAGGAGAGACAAGCAGCGCGTGGAGCCAGGCGGGTATCCTGTTCTGGACTCATTACTACCGAGTCCAGTTAAAGTCCCCTCCCCTCTTCTCTCTCTCTTCCTTTTCTTTCTTCCTTAAATTTCTTGGGGGTGCCATTGGTCAACATGAACATACAGGTGTCAAGTGTGGGTTTCTATGTTACAAGGTCTGTATACTGCACCGTGTACCCACCACCCAAAGTCAAAGCTTCTCCTTTCACCATCTATTAGGATGTTCTTCTCCCCGAACCTCTTCCCTCTGGCAGCCACCACACTGCTGTTTGTGACCATGAGTTTCAGTTTTATATCCCACATCTGAGTGAAGTCACATGGTTCTTACTTTTTCTGACTTCTTTCACTTAGAATAACGTTCTCAAGGTCCTTCCTGTTGTTGCAAATGGCGCTGTTTCATCCTTTCTTGTGGCTGAATCCATTGTGTAGATGGACCACACCTTCTTTATCCAGTCCTTTCTCGTAGGACACTTTGGTTGTTCCCATGTCTTGGCCTTAATTTTCTTTTGACTCATTGTTTTTAACATGAGATGACTACTGTGCTATGCAAAAAGTGTGAGGAATGGGAATGAGACTGAACTGGTTAAATATTAACTGATTAAGCTTCCACTAATTCCAAACTATAAGTACAAGCATTATAGCAAAACTTTATAATTTATACACTTCTGTCTTACATACTATCCTCAAAGTAGCCTTTCCCGTAAGTACAGAAACTGCGGTCTAGAGAAATAAGGTGGGTCATCACGATCACAGCTTTAAGTTTACATTGGATGAAGTGTATTCAAATCTTTGGACTCCGATTCCCAGCGAGTAAAACTCAACAATAACTGTAACACATTTAATAATGCAGGATAGACTGGTATTTTTTAATATATCCACTTTGCCATCCCAAGAGCTAAATTATTTGTTTCCCAAAATAACATTTTGCTTGTGGCTTGTCAGACAAACAGGCGGAGCTGCCAAGTCCATGATGTGTCTG